AGCCTCCCGAGTAGCTGAGATTACAGGTGTGCACAAGCACACCCAGCTAATGTTTGTATTTTTAGCAAACAAAGGGTTTCTCCATATAGGCCAGGCTGGTCTCAAACTGCAGACCTCTAGTGATCTGCCCGTCTCGGCCTCCCAAAGTGCTGGGATTACAGACATGAGCCACTGTTCCTGGCCCAGGAAGTGGGGATTTTGAAGGGGTTCCAATAAAAGCGGAACATGTACCCAAGGACCTTTGCAATTAAACACCAAAGAGAAACAGGACATTGGCTGTGGAGGGTACACACTGATGTGATGGTATTTCATTTTTGATTTTTAAAAAGAGGTATGTTTGAATATGTTTTCATATTGATGAGATAGATCTAGACCAATGAATTCCTTCTCCACGCTATCTGACCTCAGCAGTTCATGAGGCATGCATTTTGTAGGATCTTCTCTTGTTTGGGTAATCAAATGAAATTTTTTTTTTTTGTTTTGTTTTTTTGTTATTTTGAGACAGAGTCTCGCTCTGTCGCCCGACTGCAGTACAGTGGCACAATCTCCACTCACTGCAAGCTCTGCCCCCTGGGTACATACCATTCTCCTGCCTCAGCCTCCCGAGTAGCTGGGACTATAGGTGCCCACCACCATGCCTGGCTAATTTTTTTGTATTTTTAGTAGAGATGGGGTTTCACCATGTTCACCAGGTCTCGATCTCCTGACCTCGTGATCCACCCTCGAGAGAGTGCCTTGGCCTCTCAAAGTGCTGGGATTACAGGTGTGAGCCACCACAGCCGGCCAATCAAATGAAACTTTAAAATGTACGTAAGAAGTGAAAAATGGTGTGTACTAATGACTTTTACTTTGCAATTATGTTCATACTAGTGACACTGAATATATTTGTGTTTGTTAGCCATTTGCCACTCTATTGCAAATTGTCTGCCCAAGTTTGTTGCTATTATATGATGGGTTTGCCTTGTTTTTGTCCCTGTTTTTCGACTGCATCTTTTTTTTTTTTTTTTTGAGATGGAATCTCCCTTTCGTTGCCCATACTGGTGTACAGTGGTGGTGCCATCTCGACTCGCTGCAACCTTGGCCTTCCAGGTTCAAGCGATTGTCCTGCCTCAGACTCCCGATCCGCTGGGATTACAGGCACCTGGCACCATGCCTGGCTAATTTTTGCATTTTTAGTGGAGACGAACTTTCCCCATGTTAGCCAGGCTGGTCTCGAACTCCTGATGTCAGGTGATCCGCCCGCCTCTGCCTCCCAAAGTGCTGGGATTACAGGCATAGGCCACCATGCACAGCCTGATTGCATTCTTTACAACATAAGAATTGGAGCTTTCCTCAATTTTGGGATCTGTCATTTACTTCTTTTATGTAAGGATTAACGTATCTGAGGGGGTTTTGTGAAAGTTTATAAATCTTAAGTAGCCAAATTCGTCCATTGGTTATATTGTTTTCCCCTTATTGCTTTAAAAGTGTAGAAAGTTGTTCCATATCATTTCACTAAATAAATCTCCTTTTACATACGTTTCCAGCTTCTTTTCATACCTCTGCCCTTTCTTATCGTGTCTTTGACTTTCTCCATTCAATCTATTTGAAGAAGTTGCATCACTTTGGTCCTTATTTGAAAATCATTCCTTAGCATCTCTTTATCTCTCCTAAACATTTGAAGCTGTATATGTTTATATAAGATGAAATTATAACCTTAGTACTGTTTCCTCCCCACATTTTAAACATTTTCCTATGATTTTCTTCAATTTCCAAGAAGAGGTAATTTCACCATGAATTAGTGGTGCACTTTCGTGTCAGTAAGTTATTATTGTCATATTTTTCTATAAGGTTTTTTCAGACTTTCCTTCTATGTTGTTTCATACAGCTGTTTTGAAATGACTATTCTTTTTTAATTTTTATTTTTAGTTCTGGGGTACATGTGCAGGATGTGCAGGTTTCTTATGTAGTAAACGTGTGCCATGATGGTTTGCTGCACCTATCAACCCATCACGTAGGTATCAAGCTCAGCATGTATTAGCTACTTTTCCTAATGCTCTCCCTCCCACCACTCCACGACCCGACAGGCCCCCATGTGTGTTGTTCCCCTCCCTGTGTCCATGTGTTCTCATTGTTCAGCTCCCACTGATAAAAGAGAACACGTGGTGTTTGATTTTCTGTTCCTATGTGAGTTTGCTGAGGATAATGGTTTCCAGCTTTATTGATGTCCCTGCAAAGGACATACACTATGGAATACTATGCAGCCGTAAAGTGAAATAACTATTCTTAACCTAATAGCATCCTCACTTATATTCTTTTCTCCAAAAGATTTTAGTTTCTCATAAATCTTCTCTTTCCAAATGCACACATACCTATTCATACAGTGTTTACACAAAGGAAGAGTAGTATGCTATGCATAACACATGTGCTATTTATATTTCACTATA